AGGAGGAGGAGGAGAATGATATCTGAGAAGCATTTCTCTCAAGGTCTCAGAGAGTCTTTTTACGAGGAAATTTGCCGAGTGAGTAGAAGTGTAATCCAGTGAATACCCCTTCTCCTGTCTGACAGGCAAACCCTGTGGTTCTTGGCCCTGGTTGGCTGTGTTTACACGCACAGACTCGCACAGAGGAGGCGATGGGAGGAGAACAACCCTGTGGTCACAGAAGGACAGCACAGGAAGTCCGGCTCTGATGCAAGCACAGGTGACTGGCCAGTTGGTTTGATTTTTGGGTTAGAATGTGGCTGGAGTTAGAATTGAAAGCAGCTTCATTACTAGGAAACTTGTTACAATGGTCACCTGTGTCTTGTCTTCGCTTTTGTTTTTTTAAACAGATTATTTTATTCCATGTCTGTTTTCTTTCTTTTTGGTACTGGGGATCGAACTTGGGTCCTTGCACTTGTGAGGCAGGCGGTGGAACCACTGAGCTAAATCCCTGGCCCTGTCTTCACTTTTTAACCTTTTTTTTTTCCTGACAAAAACAGAAGTTTAAAATGTTTCCTACACATACTTCTATTTTTAAAAATTAAGTTCAACCTTACTGCCATGCTATAGAAAAATCACCGGACAGATTATCAACTTAATCTAGTATGTTTACATATATGTGTGATTAGGTTTTAATGTTTAGTAATTGTGAATTTAAAAATAAGGATTCTACTTAATCTTCTAAGCATTTCTTCACATAAACATAAATTAGAATAAGAAAGTTGAGAAAATAGAAGATATCATTTGAATTACAACTCACCTTTAAAATAACGTGTGAGCTTAAACGCTGCTTGAAGTAACTACTCGTTAGCATTTTACATTACAATTTACCATTTTTCCTTTCCTATACTATCCCTTGCATAAACGATAGATAAAATGAGTAAAATATAACTGGTATCTTCAAGCTGTGTGATGGGAAGAATCCAAGCCAGTTTTGTCAGACATCCAAGGCCCTCAACCCTGGCACTCACCTTACATTGCTTTTGTTTGATCTTCGCAGGGAGCAGGTCGTAGCTCAAGTGCGTTGGGATCACTCTTCTCTGCGAGCACAGTTTTAGCTCTTCAAGTTTAGAGGCATCTCCCAATTCAATCGAAGACGTGAGGGAGATTCTAGCATTGGGAATGCTTCCGACGATCTCCGCGATCCAGTGAGTGCCTTTACACAAATGCGAAATGCGATGCCGCTTTAACAAAATGTCATTCTTGGTGGAAGGCAGATAAGAAAATCGGTGTGGTAGAAAAATATGAACGTATTGATTTTATTATAAACAGCACTGTTACGTCCATGGGAAATGTTGAAGCCCTGAAAATGCTGATTCATTCTGCAGGTGGAATCACATTTCACAGAGTGAGAACATTTCTCTCTGTTATCTTGGCTTGAAGAACGCTACGTTATCACTCTGTTCAAGAACCTTTAATTCACAAATTTACTCAGACCTTTCTATACCAGTCCCACTAGTCCCAGAAGCTCCTACATCCTCCTCTTCTACTCCCTTATCCTTCTTTTTCTCTTTATTTTGCTTTTTTTGTTTTGTTTTGGAGGTTGAACCCAGGGTCTTGCACGTGCTAGGCCAAGTGCCCTACAACTGAGCTGCACACCTAGTCATTTTCATTCTTTTATTTTGAGATAAAGTCTGTCTAAGTTGTCTCAGATTGGGGATACTCCTGCCTCAGCCTCCTGAGCAGCTGCATTTGAGACACTGTCTTCTGCATCCCCATCCCCTGGTAGCACTGCGCACCTCTCCATTTCCCCAGGAGTACCCAGCTCCCACCTTCATTGGCACACACGCCAAAGTACAACTGTATGGCTGCTCTTCATAATTTAGCTCCCCACTTCCCCCTTGAAGATAAACTCGGGGTCATATTTTCATTTTGGGAAGGTACGTACTAGTTGCACCAAGTATTAGGACAATGAGTCTCTGCCATACTGAAACATCACAGGGACATAAGTCCGCTGTCGCAGAATCTGGAAAGAGTATGATCTTAGGTGGACATGGAGTCAGCAGCACGTTGCAGTGTTGTAGAAAGCAGCAAACTGGAGGAGTTTGGAAGCAATGTCCCTAGGAGTTTAAACCCGGCCTGCTCCTTCCCCAGTTATCTCATTACAATGTCAGTGAGATGCACCATTAACAGCTTTATAGTTAAATAAATATTTAGGCTTTAAACTGTTCTCATTTTCATCATCTGTTTTAATAGTAAGAATATTTTAGATTGTAATGGGCTTTAAATATTTGTAATTACAATATTCAATATCAACCTGACTCATCCTGTAAGGGTTTTGCGATATTTTAACAAAATCGATTGATTTACCTTGACCAAAGAGAGAGAGAACACATGCAGTACTGTGTCAAGGAAAGGAACCTTCTAGCAGCTTCCTAAGACAGCGGATGCCACCTTACAGGCATCTGCATGGACAGTGGACGCCTGTGCGTGACTATCTATATACAAGACATGGTAGCCACTGCTCCGAGGACACTTAATATGTCATAAATTGCTTTTTAAATTAACGTATCATTGTACGATAAGATACATTCACTCACAGAGCAATCTATTACATTTCAACTTCACCCTGAGGTATTCTGGGGGTAACCACTGACTTTGTCTTTACAGCAATATTTTCCAAAATAAAAAAATATTTTTTTTTTCAAAAAGCACCCTATAAAATCTGAATTTGGTCTTACATGAAATCTGCATCTCCCCATAGGGAGGAGCTCTTGGGCCTCAGACGGTGACTATACCATATACACAACTCAAATGCAGCTCACCTTGTAGCTGCTGAACCTGTGCTACCAGGTATGTGCCTCACATACCATTTTTCAGGAAACAGAAGCAGGTGACCATACATTATGTACCCTGGCCACCTCTCCAAAACAAAAAGAGCATATCAGTAATTTTGATAGTTTTCAGGATGACATTATTCATGATACTCATCCCTTCATGGGTGTGTATGTGTGAGAATAAACTTTGAAGTAAAATCCCTTTAACAATAAAAATATTTATGGCTTTTACTAGTGCTGAAGAAAAATATTTATAAATCAATCAGTAAGTATGACATGAACAAATGCTGTTTGGTTATCACTATGTCTGATGCAAACTATGATGAGAACTTCGTAATGTTATAAGTATTAGACATATATATATATAAGTGTTTATATATATTCATGAATTATAAACAAAATAATTAGTAAGTTTTAATGTTTTACAACTAAACTTTCTTCAGAGCAAATTTTTAAAATGTCTAGTGTCATTTTTTTCCAGGGAAAAAGTCTGAAAATTATTGTTGTAGTTTTACTCTTGCATTTCTAAAAAAATGGATTAGAACAAACTCACCAGGGGCCGGGGATTTAGCTCAGAGTTTCGGTGGCCTGCCTTGCAAGCGCAAGGACCCAAGTTCGATCCCCAGTACCAAAAATAAATAAATAAATAAATAAATAAATAAATAAATAAATAAATAAATAAATCTCACCAGATTTTGGATAGGACACCAAGAACACATCATCTTCTCTTGCATCAAAAGAATCCAAAGAATTAAGAAGCTCTTCTGAAGACATAGTGGAGAAGAGGATCCCCTTGAATTTATGGAGAACACTTAGCTGGCTCTGGGATGACATCTTCCATCAAATCTGTCAAAAATTATTCACTAAAAACTGACCACACAAGGCACAAAGTGAGTATTCTCCAAGATCTCAACCTTAGCTGAGTGACAGAGTAATCTCAGAATTGCTAAGCTGTCATTCCAATCTGGGAGCACATATATACTGCTTGTAACTCTTCATAGGAGTAATTTTCAAACCATAACTAAGCCAAAGTCTAGCGTAAAAATGATATTATCTGACTTTTTCTGATAATACATGTTACAAAATGATTTACAACTTGACCCTGAACAGTTTATGTGCAAAGCCACGAGGCTATCAGCATGTAGTCACTGTTTGCAGATACTACAGTCAATCAAATCCTTTGGCCTACATAGGGACTTTTAATTTTTTTAGTGGCTATAATTAATTACATCACTGGAAAATGATTAGAAAAATTAGACTTCTACTTATTAACACAGTAAAGGAAATAGCTGGTATTGCCTTTTAAGGAAAGAGAGGAATAGAATGAGCAAAGAGAAATATGAATCTTTCTAAGCATTGACAGATACACCTGCGACTTAGGACAAAGCTTACAAGAAGATCTTTAGAAGACAGAACATGGGAATCAGGACACCCATGCCAGAAAAGAGCTATGTTGAGGTGTTCTGTAACCAGGAAATTTAAGACTGAAGTAAATAAACTCTTTCTGAGTCTTGCTTAGCTTTTGTCAGTTCTACTGCAGTATTCCTGATTCAATTACGTAGGGTATTGATACACCCAATAATTTCAGCAAACCAGTTAATTTTTGCTTGTCTAACAATCACAGAGAGCATTCTCTAACAAAGAAATGAACCACATCTTAATTAAGCACCAAAAAAAGTGAAACCCTACTATAAAGAATAAAGATATCTGTGACAGTGACAAAAGTAAAATTCAGAATGATCATATACACAGAAAATTCGAAAATATCCCTAAACAGGACAAAGATGTGTGTGTGTGTGTGTGTGTTGGGCATGGCTGCTGGGTTAAAAAGTTAACACATGAAAACAAATTGTATGCCTACATTCTAACAAAAACCAATTTAAAAGCGAAGCTTGAAAAACAAGACTTTTTATATAATACAAAAAAACAAGACTCTACAAGTAAATCTCACAAAAAAAGTGTAAGGCACTGAAAATTATAGTTGCAGAGGGGAGTTTAAAAACATTTAAATAAATAAACACAGAAATAGAATATTTCCATGCACTAGATGACTCAATATTATTAAAATATAAAAATTCTCCTTATTGATTTATGAATTTAATAAGTTTGTTCAAAATTCCAACAGATACGCACATATGTATGAGCATCTGCTTGTGTATATATGTGCACGTGTGTGTGCGTAAGTTGACAATTAAAGGCCCCACAATAGCCAAAAAGAATTTGAAGATAAAAGTTCTGTAGGCTTTATATTATCAGATTTCAAGATTAACCACAGAGCAGCAGGAATTAAGGTACTGTACCTGAGCTCAAGGGCCAACATACAGATGAAAAGAATAGAATAGAATAGAATAGAATAGAATAGAATAGAATAGAATAGAATAGAATAGAATAGGAGAAAATGACCGGCATGTACATGGTTACTTGATAGATAAAATTCAGTGAGCAAAGCAATTTTAAAAATGAATGGTACTCATTTAATTGGAACCCTGGGTGAGTAAAAAAAGATCGTAACTGACATTATATATAGAGAAAAATTCAAGATGAATCATTAGGAAATATTTTTAAAATAAAACTCTTCCAGAGTAAAACATAGTAGAATATCTTCAGAATCTTTAGTGAGACAAAGATTTCTCAAGAGGCTATGCAAAACCACTCATCACTTAAGATTACAATGGACTTCATTAAATTAAGAACCTCTTTAGATTAAAAGTCACCATTATGAAGAAAGCCACACATTGCCAGAAGATATTATAATACACATATTAAATACTGTGCTCATTTTCAGATTCTTTAGAGCCCCCTACTAATTAATGTTAAAGAAATTAAAGGATCAGTTAAAAAAGGTGAAATGTGAAAGTAGTGAAATGGTATTCAACATTACTACTCATTCAGAAAATTAATATTAAAACCAACAACAGAAAGGTGAATGGCAGCATGAGCTCAGTGTAAAATAATAAAAAACGATGTGTTTCAAAAATTAAATAAACATGTAAAATGTCTAGAAACAGCCCTAAAAGCAGACAGCAAATGAAGAAATGTGAATTCAAGAAAATCTACTAAAGCTTGACAGAAACAGTGAGATTGTATAAGTAAGCTGTGAACCGCTCCCTTCCTCCATGGTCCTGGCCAACTCGCCAAAAGTATGGCTAAAAGCAAGGCTCCCTTCTCTCCTAACTGCCAGGCAAGGGATGTCGTGCCTCCCTGGGAAGAGCAAGGCACCAGCGCGCTCATCTCCTCCAATTCTTTTTTGCAGAGGCTCAACTCTGAGTGACAGCAATCAAGTGGTCCATCCAGATGCCAGCCACAGGGTACCAGCTCTACTCTTGGTGAGGAAGAAGGAACAGAGCACCTGTGTGCCACTGGCCCTGCTCACTTATAAATGGCTTTGAGATTTTCCACAGAGCTATGAGGTAGGGGTAAGAACAAAGAGTTCTGAAGCTTTCCACACATTGAACCCATTTATCCCATAGTTCTTGCCACTTGGAAGCAGTTCTAAAAGTCGTCTTTCATGACTGTCTTTAGTTGTGCTGTAGTGGCTGCCCGGATGCCTTGAATTGATTTAAAATATTTACCTCTTTCCTGGTCATTTTGACACTGGAGAAGAGCCAGCATTGACGTGTCAGATCCAGTGAATAAGGTAAATGAAGACACGTTGTGATGTTTCTAAAAGCCTGCCTTTCCATTCAGTGGTGCTCGGCATCAGAATTCACCATATTTTTCAAAAAATCACTCCTTATAAAGATATTGTGGAAAGAAGACTTGCAGAACTGCTTCAGAAAGTGGCAAAAACAATGGGATACACTTATTTGAAAGTAGGAGTATTCTGAGGGGGTTAATGGCAATATAATTTTTACTGTAATAATGGGTTTTTATCTAACATTGATCATATATTTTCATTGTTCCTTGTATGTTATCACACTACAGTGGAATTGAGCTAGAAATCAATAGCACTAAGAAGTTTGGGAAGTTAACACATTCGTGGACTTTATATAACACACTCCTACATAAGTATTAGGCCAAAGAAATTATGGGGAAACAAAACACTTGAGATAAATAAAAATGAAAAGTAAAACATTTAACAATGACATAACAAAACTTAAGAAATCCAGTTAAAGCAAAGCTTACAGAGAAATTTGTAGCTGTAAATATATATTGATAAAGGAAGATATATTTTAAATTAATAGTCTAAATTTCCCCTTTAAGGCACTGGGAAAAAAAAAAAAAAACAACTCCACCAAACTAAACCTAAAAGAAGCAGAAGGAAACACATAATAAAATGAAATAGAGAATACAGAGGCAAAATAGAAAAATGATTAAACCAAAAGCTGGCTCTTAGAATAAAGTTGTCAAACTTTTCAGTTAACTAACAAAGACAAAATGGAGTTGAGGGAAAGGAGACATTACTACTTTAAGGAAAGAAAAAACATTACAAGGGACTCTATTAACAATTCAGATGAAATGGAGTAATTCCCACAGAGCTATACACTATAAGTGAATCGACTGAATTTGTAATAATTTTGATTTTTTCACAAATAAAAGTCCAGATTTAATGGTATGCTTGATGAAATGTTTGAAAAACTGACACCAATTCTTCCCAAACTCTTCCAAAAAGTAGTAGAGAAAGGAATACATCCCAACTCATTCTATGAGACTAGATTCCCCTATTACGAAAACCCGGCAACAGTCACAAGAAAACTACATACAAATATCCTTTAAAGTAAAGATGTCTCATGCAACAGTACCAAACTAAATCTGGCTAAAGGATTATTTTCCGTGACCAAAGAACCCAAATTTAACACCTGAAAATTTATTAATGCAATATACCATTTATAAGTAATCAGAACAAGCTGGACACAGAGACAGGCACCAGCAATCCCAGCACTGAAAGGAGGAGAGGCAGAAAGATCAAGTTTGAGTCCCACCGGGGCAACATAGTGAGATCCTGCCTCAAAATAAAAAATTAAAAGGCTGGGAGATGTAGTTCAGTGGCTTCCGAGTTCCACGCCCAGTACCAAAAAAATGTCTGATGATGAAAAAAAAAAATCACAAAATCATCTCAATAGATGCACAGAAGCATTTGGAAACCCAAACACTCCTCAAAATAAAAATACTCAAGACACTTTCTCAATCTGATACACACCAGCTACATACAACACACTAACAGCAAGGGCTGAGGGTATCGCTCCACGGAAGAGCACATGCTCGGTCTTCACAAGGCCCGGCATGCAGTCCCCAGCGCTGCAAGCTAAACGAAATAAAACCACAAAATAACCCAACGGTTAAAATCATATTTAATGGCTTCCTATTAATACAGGTCACTAATAGTTCCTAGGGAAGGTGGCCTTTGGTTATTTAACAAGAGCTGAAAGACTCTGTTTTAGAACTCAGGAAGCCAAACAAAACATATCTCTCATCTAAATTAGAAACACAGGGTATTCATTTGCAACCCTCCTAGGAAGTCATTAAAGTTCCTAACAGAAGAATAACACATTGAGAGTTTACTTTGGAGAAATTATCTAGGAGAGCGTATGAAAAGAAGCAAAAGGGGCACTTGGAGGCAGGCCAATCAGTAAGGAAAAGCAAAAACCTTAGCTTGAATTGATCTGTTAGCCAAGAAAATGGGGCTGTATTTCAGGTACAGGATGGTTAAGAAAAAATGTCCAGGGTGTGGAAGCAGGATGTGGGGCTTACAGGCAGAAAAAAAGCAAAACGCATAATGTAGAGATTGCTTACAGAAATAATAAATTCTGGGAAAGAGATTATTTTTCTTTCTTTTATGGTTTTGGTAAAAGAAGAAGGTGTTACACTGAGTTGCGAGTCAAGGTAAAATACCCCAGAACAGGAAATGTTAAGCAACATAAATAATAACTGGAAGTCAGAGATTTCAAAAAGTGTCTCAGGTGACACAAGCAAACGATATCATAAACGGAACGAAGATAAGGATGAACATGGAACAATATGATGACACAATATCCAAGGCGTGTTTCTCATCTAGAATCTGTGTATTGTTTCTTGGAGTGAAAAGAAATTAGCTCAGGCCAAGGAGCATTGAAGAATTTCCCAAGAAAGTTCTAATCCCATGAAATTGTCTTACCCAGCAAGGCAAATGCTTGGCTGAACAGATATAGACATGATTAAAATGGGAGAATGTCCCTCACCCATGTTTTAAATTAAAAGAGGCTTCCACCAAGGGTGGAGTAATAGAGAACAGACTTACTCTTCAACCTGGAGCTTCCTTAAAAATAAAACAAGAGAATATAAGAAGTGATGATTTTAAGACTTTGGACACCAAGAGGTGATAGTTTATCTGATCTGTGCTACCACATATTTCTCACATGTACACAGCTAAAATGACTAAGTTGAATGGTTAAAGTTTAAAAGATTGACCATAACAAGTTTTGATGCACTAGGCCTCTCAGCCTGCCAATGGAAAAGTAACCCAGCACTATCATTTTGTAAACCAATCTGGTAGTTTCTTAAAAAGTTAAGCATATCCCTACTGCATGAACCAGTCATTCCATTTTCAGGTATTTATTCAAGAGGAGCAAACGTCCACACAAAGACCTGTATGTGAATGCACATAGCCATTTGATTTTGTTGGGTAAAAGAGCTGAAAAACCAGGACCAAACCAGAACTACAACAAACCTTTATTATGGGGAAGATCTGCTGGGCTGTCTCAGAACAAAGAAAAGCAGCCTGGTGGAACAGGGAGCTTCTTTTATAGGAGCAGGGTGGGGTTAACTTGAGCTGGGGTGGACTTGAGTGAGGTAGCATTAAGGGATTGTAGCAGCCTGTGACATTTCTAGAATGGGCTTGTGACATCGCTGGTTACTCAGAGGTAGCAAATATCAAGTTACTCTTTTGGCAGGAAAAGAGGCATGATAGGAGGAAGAAGGCTGTCCTTTGGTAGAAGAAGCCATTTTTAACATGGAGACTGCTATTCCATGTGGCAACCTTTTTAAGGTGTAGAGCATTATGGGAAGGAGGCTACTGTTTTATGTAGCAGCCATCTTGAAGCAAGGAGAATCTAACAGATTTATAGTAACTAAAGTCTTCATAAATTGGGTGTTTAAGGTTTAAGGTGACCTTACCTCCACCCTAATGTCCTATCAAAGCAAAATAAAGTACCCCTGAAGGAAGATGTTATAATCCCTGAGATTTAACAATAATTATATCATGATAATTTTTAATGTACAAATTTTCAGTATTCAATCCAATTAATTGGTATACAAAAAAATGGAAAAAAATGGAAACAAAGCTTATGTAAATAAGGTGAGGTGTAGAGGTTGAAGGGAGGGAAAGGGAATGGGAAAAAATAAGAACCAAGATTTATCATTGTACAGGTACAAATTCCCTATGATGAATGTCACAATGTACACCTAAAATGTACCAATAACTTAATGAATTAAACATTTTTAAAGGGCCAGGGATTTAGCTTAGTGGCACCGTGCCTGCCTTGCAAGTGCAAGGTCCTGAGTTCAATCCCTGGTACCAAAAAAACAAATTTTTAAAAATTAACTGGCATAAAGAATATTAACTGAAAAACAGAGAAAAAGCAGACAAAGAACCAGAAGTACAGGAAACCTTGATACTGAAGCTGTCAAACATAGTCTTTAAATTTGTATGATTAATAGATCAAGATATTATATAAGTGAAGGGGGAATTCAACATATAAATTATTTAGCAAATGCATTATTTATTAAAAGGCCAATTGGAAATTCTAGAAGTTGAAAAATAAAAAATTGAAATTAAACCTCAGTGAATAATTTAAAATTAAATCACACAGAAGTCAAGAAAGAAGTAATGAACTAGAAAAGAGGGCAGAAGAAATGATTCCACTGAATCATAGGGGGAAAAAGGGATGGAAAGCACGGAAAGGAGCATAAGAGACACGTGATACAATGAAAAGTTCCAACCTGTAAAGTTTAGACTTAGAAAAAAAGAAAAAAAGAAAGAAAGAAGATGGACTAGAAGTATTTTGAAGATCTAATGGGCAATACTTTTTTTTTTTACTTATAATGAAAAGCTCAAGTTTCCAATTTAAGAAGGGCTACAACTGCATACAAGGTAAAACAAAGAATACTATACATAGGTACATCCATTGAGTAGATAGATAACTTTAAAAAAAAATCTCACAAGCAGTCACAGAAAGTATCTGCCTTCTAATAAAGTGCTTCACAGAAACCAAATATACGACTTTAAAATTCGGATACACTAGGCAAACCATCTAGCAAAAGGTGTGAGAGTGATAGAAGCTATAAAGACTTCAGGGAGTAAAATTCCAAAGAGGTGGAGCCTTTAGAGGAACCTGGGATCTGCACTTATTCCTGGAGCTACTTCTTAACCCTGAGCACTGCCAGGGGTAGAGAAACCATGTTTGTGTGTGTGGTGGGCTTC